TAATTTTAATTTTCAAAATGGTTTGAACAAATTTGTATTATGTTTAATGTAAAAAATTAAAATTTTGAAAAAAATTTTATATAGTGAATATTTTATATGATAATCACATAGTTTATTTTAAAATAAAAATATGCAAATTTCAGCTACGCCTGTCTATATTTTGTAAATAACACATTGACGAATATTTCAAATTTTCAAAGCACTAATAATTTGAAATACTAGTACTATTTTAAGAGAAATATTATAATAATTAAATGAAAAAGAAAAATATATATTATTCCGTGATAATAGTATGAGCTTTCATTGGATGAAAATTTGCAATGATAAAACATCGTGAAGGTTTTGGGCTCTTAAATTGAAAACAAGATTTCCTGGATTATAGAAATTAAACAATTTTTTATCTAATGGTATTATCAATCCTTAAAATATATATGTTTGATTTTCATTTGGACAAATAATACATTATTATTATTATTATTATTATTATTATTATTATTATTATTATTATTATTATTATTTATGTTAAATAATAAGTTTTTTGAAAAATTGATTCTTCGTTAAATTAGAAAGTAGCTATTTATTATTTAAATTCGCTATTTAAATTCAGTTTTTGATAAAATAAGCTCAAACTGATTGATTGTTTGATGGAATTCTAAGGAGATATCGTATTAGACGATTATGAAATATTATATAAAAATAATCAATTCATATTACAAAAGTTTTGTTTGTATTTCTATTGTAAAATCTTAATTAAAACTTGTAGATCCACGCCCCTAGAATAATTCTATTGATTTAATATCAACGGCAATTGAAGCTAGAGATGCGAGTGATGAAAATATTTGTCAAAAATAGGTTTTCAGATATTCTTCAGAAATAGAAATATTATGTTGCATTAAAAATTTATGTTCATGATAGAAATTATGAGGAATTAATGAACAGTACGTAAAAAGAAATGTTATTTCTTACATTAAATCAGTAACTGAACAGAATTAATAAAATTAACTGAATTTAATAATTGATTAATATAGAATACAAATAAATATTTATTACATACAACAGTTGAAATATTATTTAAAATCTTGTACCAAAAATAAAATCTTTTATTTTTTCATATATTTTTTTCATAAAAATTTTATGAAAAACTTGATACAATAATGTTAGGAAGGAGTCTTACACTATTGAGAAATAAAATGATAGAAAGAGATATTGATATCTATACCTATGAATGACAAATATCTGTCTTGAATATTGAATTGAGGTATGAGATGAGGTAGTATGAAAATTGAAAACTTTTTTGAACTTCAAACGAATTGCTTTGAAAAATTTAGAATGTAATTTTCTAAAAGAAAATTTAATGGTTTTTGATTTAAATATGAGATAATACATTAAAATCCCTTTCATTGCGATTTACGTGTTGTATACACATTGTAATATAAAAAATTTGCGAATTGCAGTATAATCATTTTTCATAACAATAAGAATTTAAATAAATAAATAAAAATCTAACCATATTCATTTAACCTTTTTTTATTAATTCAAATTTTTAAATTTAATTGAAACAATGTTTACTCACTATGAATTATAATTATGAATTATTTTAGTTTGTTTAAATAAATGGATCGACCTGTAGTATACGATTGCATTAAAATTTTATGTACAAATATTTTATATACAATTTCTTTTATATAAAAATTAAAGTACTTAGGTGTGTTTGTACTGTTGCAAACTCTGTGTGCATCCATCCATCATAATAATAATCCGAAAAACTTTTCAATAATTAAAGCTTGATAAATTAAGCGATTCAAGTGCAAAAAGTTTTTCATAAAATAATAAATTTATAATAACGTTTATTCTTTCGAACTAATATTGCAATCTAAAAGAATTAGTATTACATTCAATGTTAACGTAAGTGGTTTCTCATAAAACTTTTTGACAAAGTGAAAGAGTTCGCAAGGAGGATTAAAATGGACCAACAGTCGAATAAGTAGGTTAAACGTTATTGACATTTCTGTTCAATGCGCGCTCTTTCTAGTACTTTTCCGAATACTGTAATATTATTTCTTTAACTATATTTACTGTTTTGTTTAATAAGTTTCACAAAAATTTTAAGTAACAGATTTATTAGATAAGAATGGAAAATAAAAGTGTTTTAGTATTTATATATATAAATAAAATTTCAACAGAACTATATTTTATCTACAATCAAAGTTTTAAAAAAATAAAAATAGTATTTTTATTAAAAATTATATTTTAATACAGTAAACTGAATCTAAATTGTAAAAACTATATCAATCAATAAATATATTTTTAATAGCATATTGTTAAAAATCTTTACTATTATACAATTTTTCCTTGTGTCTTATAAAATTTACTCTTAACAATGTATTCTATGATATTTTAATAAATTAATTTTTAAAAATTACATAAATACTTTCTCAATAAATTGTTTGCTAATAATGACAATTTTCTACAAACAGCAACTGTAATGATGAAAGTTCAATGAATATTTTTATTTCACAGGCAACTTATCCATTCAAAATTTTATATTTAATCTACTATCGTTAATAAGAATTCGCGAACGTGTATAATAAAGTATCAATACTTGTAAAATGAGTTATAATTATGCACTGTTTGATTATACGAATAAAATTATGTTATATGAAATGAGGGAAATATGATATTACGAGTTTTATCGAAAGTAATTGCCGATGATTTATATCATCAGTTTACCTAAAATGGTCTTGTACAGTCTTAAAAGTGAAAATTACATTTGATAAAAATATCATTAGATGCTTGAAGTAAGAACAAATAATTTATATAATATTATTGCTATTATGTAATGTAATTAATTTTCTTTTTTATTCTGTCACAGTCATTTTATAAAAATTTTGTATTTATAAATATAACTATTTTTTTACTCTGCTCACTTAATTTCTATGTCATTTTATACAAAACACCACAATTTCGATCTACTGTGTTTGTATTATAATATTATATTGAATTTGATATGGTAGAAGTATTAAAGAGCTTATGATGTATATTTTTATACATTCCCAGCTGTCATTTAACATAATACAATGTTATGTTATATACTAAACGTATGTTATTGTTATATAAATTGATTTAATATTCATCACGTTTCTAACTCAATACTTTATTTATTATATAATATTATTTTGTCATTTGACTCAATTAGTTTTCGACACTGTTATATTCCACTTGTAAAATAATTATAGGCACAATACCTTTTAAATAATATTCTCTTCGCAATAATTAATTATCTAATATCGTACCATATTATACCTTACATTTATTCCCAATTGCAACTAAACAATACGAACTATATTAACATACGTACTTTGTATGTTAACAATAAATATAAATGTTGTATTAATTTAAATATTCTTTTACAATGTTATTAACTGTCTGTATTATCAAACAATTTTCTAGATAATTTTACAATTTTTTTTATAATTATATAAATATCTAAGGGAAAGAAATTTAAGGGAAAGATTAATGAGTTTTTAATGGATTGTGGCAGTAATTTTTGTCTTGAAGAAATAGCGAAACTACGTTGTTATTCCAAATTAAGTATTATGTTCATGTTTAAATTCATTAATAAAAATATTCATATGAATTAGTTGTAAATTAAATTTTGACTTCTTTTTAGTAACCTGCTTATTTGTAAATACGCACTTAATTATTATTAATTAATAAATATGCAATTATGTTGTAATATAAATAATGTATTTAATAACATTCAATTTTTTTAATTTTAAATTAATAGAATAGATGAATGCACATATGAGATTATTAATTGGAAACATGTATGTCTAATGTTGCTCTTTCGCACTTTATTACAATTAGTTAGTTTAATTAGCATTTAAATTTCCTTATTCTAACGACTGTATTAAAGTGATGAATTAAACTTCGTCGAATATAATATGTTTGCATCTCTTAAATAATCGTATAATACATTGACAAATAATTGTGATTCTTATCATAATCTTTACAATACTATTAGAGATATTGAACTATTTTAGTTTCTAATTTCGAAAATGGAATCATTAAAGATTTTTAATGCGATTACGAAATATATGCTGTATAAAGTAGTAAATATTTCCAATCATCAATCATCCAAAAATTGTGCGTTTAAAATTACGAATTTTATGATAATAAAATGTTGAATGACTTTTAGCCTTTAAGCCATTAAATTCCACCAAATTATAACGATAAAAAAAAAAATTAAATAATAATTTTTAATCTTTGTAAATTAAATGTTTAAACAAAATGAAGGATAAATTCCAACCTGTAAGTTAAATATGCATTTTTTAGACTTTTTCCTTACTATGGCAACAAAACATAATAAATTGTACATGTATAGGGAGAGTATGTATGGCACATACAATTATAAATATTTGGAGACTATTTGAAAGAAAATATATATATATATATATATATATATATATATATATATAAATTATTACATTTAAGGACAGAGAGAACAAATTTTGACTGATTTGGAATTTGGATAAAAAGAATGGTAAAAAATATAAGACTAGTAAAGATTGAATATGCTTAAAGAAACTTTGTAGAGGATAATGTGAGCCTTACTTATCCTGTGCCTAAGTATTTGAATCAGCAGCCGCGTAAAAATATTGTGATGTTTGAGCGTTGGAACTTGAGCGCGCAGAGGAAGTCCAATGTACGAGCGTACGTGTGCGAAGGCAGCGGTAAGAGATGGAGATAAAGTGAGAGAAAGGGAGAAAGAGCGCAAGTTAAGTGATTGTGCGCGTGCGCGCGTTCCTGTTCCCGACGCTCGATATTTTGTCGTCTTGGCGGAGTGGAGAAAGCAAGCAGCTGTGCGAAAAATAATCAGTCACGCCAAAGCGAACAGCGAGCCGCTCGTATTATTCCCGACGATCCGGATAATCTGGAATCACCTCGTCCTGCTCTCGTAATCTTACACCGGGCTAGTCCGAGGCCAAGAGGGTAAAAAAGAATAAGACGGAGTGAAATTGGCGCTCGGAGCCGAGGCCTATGAACGCGTAGGCGCTTCATGACGTAACGCTACCGGCGTTTTCCGCCCGCGGGATCTTGTAAACATGTGCGGACGACTCGAATGAATCGTGTTGGCGCGTGTGTACGTGTGTGAGAAGTCGGTTGGTCGAGCGGTGCAGGCAGCCTCCCTAGCCTTAGTAAATTATTGCTCGGCTGCTTCGTTGAATCTTCCAGGTACGTTATCCTTTGCATTGGGAATTCTGTCGATGCGAAGGAAGGTTCGCGGACAGGATTTAGTCTAAGCGATACCGTAGTTTCTATAAATAATGGACTTAGTCATAATTTTGTGTTGAGATTAGCACTTGATTATGCAGATGAATCGAGTTGCATCCAGTAAAAGAGAGAGACAGAATGCGCGCGCGCGTTTGCATGAGTGAGTGAGTGAGTGAGTGAGTGAGTAGAGAGAGTGAGAGAGAGAGAGAGAGAGAGAGAGAGAAAGAGAGAGAGAGGGAGAGGGATGGTATGATAAAATAAACGAAAGACAATTTGTATAATTGTGTTTTATTATTAACATTGTTATAATTAGTCATTTACTAAGATATAACGTAAAATGTGGATGCTCGATAGATTTAATGTACCGTTACACATTATTTGGAACGTACCCAATTATTTTCTATTTTGTTAAATTTAGAAGAAGGTTACTCTATTTCCAATGTTAAATAATAATTGTTAAAATAAAATATTCAGGGTGTAATGTTTCCAGTCATAATTCTTATTCATTTCTCTATATTGTTCATGGAAATTTTATAATTTATTTACAATTTATTTTTTAGATAAAATAATATGTAAATTATAACTTTATCATAACCTTCAAAGTCTCAATGTAAAAATATCAAATATAATAATTGTTCTCTTAATTTCCAATTTACCAGCTTTATCTAACTGAATAATAGGATTGAGAATGTGCAAGTAAATTTAAAATGAAAAGGCTTGGATTTAATGTCATTCTTATATTAATAGGAAAACTTGGTAAACAATATTATTATATAATTATAGCATAAATAATACAGTATCTACATTCGCATTAAATATTCTTATTCTAAAGTATGCGTATGTTTTAAATAGAAGTTGGCATAGCCTTAAAGAAATTCTTAATCAATATCAATACTTATTACCAATCAAACGTTAATTCAAATCTATTAGTTAGTCATTATTATTGATTGCCTATAACGTCGAAGAGTCAATATAAATTTGAAATACGTTGTAATTGCATTTATTGTATAAATATAGATTTTGTATTGTACTTTAAAATCTGATTGAATATAATCTTTAGTCATATTGATATTTAAATTTGAGAATATATAATAATAATTCCCAAATTAAAAGTCTGTTTCAGAAAAATATGAGTATACACTATTGAAAGTTGAATTTCCAATCGACCATTTTACTCAATTACTATAATTTTACTCATAATCCTTATATTGTATTTTATAAGTAATAATTATTAAAGTGCGTTAGCAAATTAAATTAATATATACGCTTGGTGGGTTTGTAGGCGTTAAGATTTTTCTTGCTTTCTAACAAAAAAAATTAGTGAGCGACTAGTTATAATTGAATTATACACTTATTAGGTATATTAATATTATGTTAAGTTTATTAATAGTTTTCTATTTATGATTTTTATAATTCTTTTATTTTCAGATTAACAACACATTTGTTTAGAATGGATTTATTGCTATCGAGTCAATTATACGCTATTCAACAAATTCCTGGGGAAAGTCGAAAGGAAAAATTCAAGGAAATTGGGCGAATAGTAAATTGTATTATTCAAGCCATTCAAGAGGGAAAAGATTTCACAAGTGCTATCCACATTCAAAATGTGCCAAATGCCTTAGTTCCTTTGATTAAAGTTCTCGTTGGCGTAAAAATAAAATCCCATACATTTATAATAGACGCTTTAAAGTCAGATGACATTTATTTGATAATAGAGGCTCTTAGAGCAAGATGGTTTTACGATGGGAGCAATAAGGATATCACAAATTACACGTATTACTCATCTGCTATTTTACCTTTCGTGTCAATGAGTACGCGAAGAAAAATTGTAAAAAAATTGGCTGTATGTTTAGGCTTCAACGGACAAGTTGAATTGGCAGAGAATTTTTTTGATGGCTTTGTTGCTGCTTACGGTGTACAAGAAGCCACGAACCTTCTGCCTGCTTGCAGGAGCGATTTTATTTATAAAGCTATTGTTAAACATAAAATTGTTTTATCAAATAAGATATTGAAAATAATTTATCGAAAGTATCCCGACCTCGCTCTTAGTTATCTAAGGTTTACAAATCCGTATGAGAGGAGAGACGAAATCGACCGGACTATGTTTAGAGTAATTGATATAAATGAATATGAAAATTTTCTGCCACTCCTGGTAACTAATCATCCTGACGTTTTTGTCAGCCTCCATGAGATTTGTCATACATCTGGTAATTTGGGTAATAGACGTACTAGGATGTTTTTGAAAAATGCTAAGGAAATTTTAATGCAAAGACCCAGAGATATAATTGGCCTCATGCCTATTAAATTAGTCTGCGACAATTTGAAAAGGGAAGAATTCGAAACGATGTTTGGCAATATATTAGAAGATCGGTGGGACATGTTCAACGTCGATTCTATGCTCAATTATTTAGAATACTATCCCAATGAGAGAAAGGCAACATTGCTTAGAAATAAAGTCAAAGAAAAGTATGGTCATGATTTATTTGATAAAGTAGAGAAAATAACGTCGAGGTACTTGCTGCTGCTGTCCAAAGAAGAACGCTTTATTTTAGTTCGACGAATCATACAAGTTCATCATAAAATGGAAATATCGGATTCGGAAACATCTTGGTGGTGTTACTTACCCGTGCAAGAAGCCATTCCAGCTCTGAAACAACAGATTTCCAAAAATTGGAAATCGTCTAAACGACAGAAGCTCCTCTCACAGCTGATATACGTGTGCAAGTTGAACGATAGTAAAGAGACTTTGCTCGACGTGTTAAGATACATCGATGAAAAGCATAAAAATGAAAGATCTGACGTGCTATGCAGTATGTTGGATCGTATTACTCAGGAATTCGATTTGGATATGTTCGACCAGAATTATTGGACGATTTTATTCAACATTATTAAGCGTCTCAAGTTAAAAAAAGGAAATGCAAGGGACTACTGGATTTTAATCAAAATACTTAAAAAGAATGTTCACTATTGCGATAGCCATAATTTACCAGTTAGTGAAATAATTGATCTTATCGTTGGACTTTTTTTAGAAGGACGCGTAGGTGTTTCGTGGAAGTTGCTCGAAGACGCAGCTGAATACGAACGAAAATATTTAGATGCTTGTTTCAGGCATAATTATTGGTTGAATATGGACTATCGGAAGAATATTATAGAAGGTATATACAGTTTTAATGAGCGACATGTCGTTAATGAGAATTCGATACAAAGACTGTCAATCAAGGATTACCCAAATTTATTGAAAGTAGTAGAGGAAACTCTTACGAAGGAGCAAAATGAACAATTGACATGGATCATATATACTAAAGAAAAAATTAAAAAGCACGAGCCAGAATTGTACGATACTTGGTTTTTTAGTGACGATGATACGTCGTATGAACATTTTTCCAGTGATATATACGATGAGGAGAAAAATACGCCGGAAATTAAGGAAAAAGTAATATATCTTACAGAGGCCATAATTGCATTAAAGAGAAATTATAATGAAATTAAGGAAAATTGGATTCGTTACTATGAATGTTGCAAGACTGAGGTTTACTCGAAGAAACGCAGAAGGGTGAAACATTTTATTAAGGCCCTTCGCTGGTATCAAGATATTCCCATTAAATTTGCCGAGAAATGCATACAGGAGAAGAACTTTAATATTATGGGATATTTATTCGAGGGCACTACATTTACAAAATTGGCGCAAACGTTTCTTTCGACAGAATCCGAGGAAGAGCATAATATGAGTTACTTAAATGCTTTGCATATTACAGCTGCTATAAGGAATACAAGTACACCAATACCAACAGAGCTAGTTGAGAAGTATCTCGAAGCACACTATATGTACTCCTTTAAAAATTATATAAATGACGGTTTAAAGCTTTGGTCGTACGTCTCTTACCGCACGTCATCCGATAAGATGATTATTTTATCAAAAAACTTATCGAAAAGTAGACTATTCACAAAAAGGCACGCGATACGCTTGATGACTGCCATGGCCGCTAGAAATGATTTAGTAGATTTTTTTACAGTATTTTGGAATATTGAAGAGCATCCAATGATCCGCGAAATATTGGCCGAGAATATAGGTAAACTCTTTGCTAAGAGACCGAGTAGCGAAACATGGAATTTAATGAGCAATTGTATAGAGAGTCTATCGATGAACGATACCGATCTTCTGGCAGATCTCATGGGATCTAAAGCAGTTCCAGTTGAATTCGCCTCGTCATATGTCGAGCAAATATTGACAAAACTTCAAGTTTTCGTTGGGGCGGGCATGTCTAGTCACGATGCGGTCAAATTGCTCGATCAACTTTTTGAAAATCTTAAGCCAGATTGCAAAGATCACTTGTCAGATGAATGCTACAAAGATATTCTCGCTTATTATTTACGAAATATCGATTTAGAATTTATCAATGCCGATAGATTCGTGGTTAAAGTCTATTTAAATCCTTCTAGTGTGCATTTTGACGATAGATTAAATTACTTGTCGCAGTTATTGATGACAGAGTCGAAGCGATGGTACAGTTTGAGCATGGTTAAGCAAAAGCAGTCAACCAATTTTGTGGATAATTTTGTACAAATAGTTGTTTACCAGGTTCAAAAGTTCAAAGGGAGCTTAAGATTAGTTGAGAATTTATCCAACATATTTTGTACAATTTTTACACCCTATCAGCACGCATCGTCTTACATTATGTTATTTTTATGCACGGAATATATGCGCGTCGAGCCATCGTTTAAAGAATTTGGCCTTAAATTAAGTAAGAAAATTACTTCTTTAATCGAGAAGTATACACCCGAGTATTTTATGCAAATTGTCGAATTGGTTAGGGAGTTTGTTTGCAATTTTAGTTTTTACCAATATTCGACTAATATAAAGAATCGATTGAATTTTTTGGAAGGGTTGATAGAAGAAAGAAATATTCACTGTCTTATTATTGCCGCTAAATTATTGAATCAGAAAATTGTGAGTGAATACGATCACCAGCATTGCAAAATACTTCAATTATTATCGGATGTTAATAATCCAATAGTTCAATCATTTTTGTAAAATAAAAATGTTTGTAAATACGCTATTATTAAAGATGGAGTAAATTATCATTTACCTGTCACACGAGCAAATGTAATTTATTTTTTAATTAAGAACCATTGCACAAACATGTGATAATTCCTGCAATTGTGTGATGATGACATTATTATAAATAATATAACACAATAATAATAATATATATATATATATATATATATATATATATATATGAATCATGATATATGAATTATTAACAATACTTAAAATAAATATATTTTCTACAGTAGCATAATCTACGCATATGGTCTGCGTAAGTATAATAATATTTTATATTAGAAACAAAAATATTTTATTATTAATCTACATATATTATATGCAAATAAAAACATGTACATGTTATTAAATAGTACAATGAAAGTAAATGCTCCATCTAAATATTTAAAAATATAAATTGTATAGGTTATTCTTTTTTCACTTTCTATTATACATTTTTAATGACATTTACTAATTCTTTAGTTACGATATTTTACGTATGTAAGTGTAAATCGTATTAATATAACGAATAAAAATAGAATGAAATCAAATGGGAAATATAAGGTGTATATTGAATAAATATGTTTATTCAGGGTATGAATATGCTACTTTATATATATATATATATATATATATATATATATATATATGTGTGTAAATTCATTAAAATTAGCTTAGAATTTTTCGTTACAATAATTTATTGTATAATTTATATCTAGGCAAATACACTTAAAGCCATGTTTAACGATGCATCATCGATTAAGTTTATAATTTACTAATAGTGAAGCCACGATAATACGTATCTTCTTTTATGATTTATTCCAGCGCAGTTTTAAATACTCATAATAGTCCAATTGTCAAATAATTTTTGTTCGTGTCGATTCCATTGATTTTAATATTTATAAACGTATTGTAAAAAGGACCGTCACATTTATTTATAAAACATAAAAAAAAAAAATAAAAAAAAAAAAAAAAAAAAAAAGACAATTACAACAAGAAAAATGAATAGTAATTGTATTTTTAACGGTGAGTGAGAATTTGAAAGTGTTAACTGATGCAGTGAGAAGATGCACTTACATGTCGGATCGAATCCAGTGACGAAACTTGGACAGGGTGTGTACGCCGTTGTTCCCGCAGGCGTATTTGGCCAACACGACCAGCCATCGAAAATTGCTGGACAATAAGGTTCTGCGAAGAGTAAAATAGAGACAAAAAAAGTGAGATTTTGAACGATGGGCTGATAGAGATTTAAATAAAAACAATGTATATAACATTGATAAATATATAAATGATTCTTTTATACGTACGTGTTTTATTGTTCGTTCAATATTCCTTTGAGGCATTGTAAAATTTTCATTAATCGAAACAGTTTTAAGTTTTACCAATTGCTTTGTTTCTATGCAGGTGCTTTCAATTTATTGAAGCTATTAAAAAAAGTAAAGTCTCGCGTTATTTCTGGTTGTTAGAATTCGTTGATTAAAGAAACTTTAGGCATATATTTCGTTTTTTTTTTCGTTTTTTTTTTGTTTTTTTTTTTTTTTTGTTTCCTTTTCATCTCTTTATTAGATAAATGTTTAATTTAAAAAGTGCTAGTATAACGCAGGATGAGCTGAAGTGAAAAATGAAGGATCGATAGTCACTAAGCCATGACATTAACTGATCTCGTGGTCTTTAAATGCCTCACAAACGATTAAAATCTTTAAACAAAATCGAGGAATTTCATTCTTTACCTGCCAAATACCTTAACAAATAAAAATCGAAAAATTCTATTTTATGTCGAATGCAGGATCTATTTAAGTTTATCATCCATGACAAAGAAAGCATAATATATTAGTAATTGGCAGAATTAGCAATAAAATATCCTGATCGTAATTTTGTTAACGTAACGTATGTGCGGATAGATCGATATTTGAAATTTAAAGTTTCATCGGATAAACTAGAACTCTTTTATTGTAAAGGTTTCTTCGAAGAAAGATAAAAGTAGATTAGACTTGACGAGCGATGAAGGATTGTTAGAACGGAGAACCAAGCGGGCGACGAGTTAAATGGGAGATGATCGCGTTATTGAACGACTTGTTGATGTGGGTCAGGATAACGATTACTTAACGCTACCAGTGGCGCCTTGGATGATAGAGGTTTCCGGGTGATAGTTGCAGAAAGTCTCCTATTGTTCGGTGATAACGCTTTGGGATTTGTGTTGTGAAATGTTGTTAAACGTTATGGTAAATTCCTGGATTGGTTGTCATCACTGGTCAACCATTGAGTGAGCGTATACAAAGGACTTGAGATTATTTTTATATTTATGAAGCAATAGAGAAAAGAATTGAAATCTAATTGTGCGTTTAATCTGTTATTATACGTTTAGCGAAAAAGTGACAATAAAAAAAAAAAAAAAAAAAAAAAAAAAAAAAAAATAAAAAATGAAGATACTTCATTTTGTAAGATTATATATTTCTCATTGTATCTTCATTAATCTATTTTATTACAAAATAAATCAAAAATTTTGCTTCTATATATTAACGAAATAACGTAATTACAAATCATAAAATAAGTAAACAGTGAATAGATGGAAATTAGATGTTTTTAAACATCGATCTTATTATTAAAAAATTGAGTTTAGAGAACTAGAGTACATATATTGATTAAATTAAAATAATTTAACTATTATTGTTTGATGAAATTCAACAGCAGTCCGACAATTACTTACATACCGTATAAATTATACAGGCTATTACATATCATTATATATTTTATTAAAATCTTATTAAATATTCACATTTTCGGCATTTAGTTGTATTTAGTTGTTAAAAATCATTAAAAAGAGCGATTTTAATTCCATTAAGTTTTCGTTAAAACTAATAATATGATAATTAATGTGTCATATGTGCACTTAATAAACATCCATAAAATTTACAATGCAAATTTGATCGTAACTGGTATTACGAATCATATCAGATAAATTAATTAGAATGCACAAATGAGTACAAATAAACAAAATTGATTTTTTGCAAAAATCATAACGTTATTTGCATATTTCTCATTTTTCATCTCTTTTTCAAAATCATTGTCTATCGTGTGCTTTTTTAGTGTCTCAATTTATCTTCTTATTTATACAATAATTTTATTCCATTTGCCGCTATTACTTTGTTTTTTTTTTTTTACTGCTTACAATATCTTGCTCTGTTCTTTCAAAATTTATTATATATCTGCAATTAAATAAAACGAAATTAGTGTCAATAAATTAAAATTTGCTTTTATGGAATAATTAAATTTATTTTGAAAAAACTGAGTCATAATAAATAGCACATTTGAAAGAAATTAATTTAAATTATGAATAGATCGACTAATGAATATGTAGAGTTTGTACTGCGAATAAAGTACCGCTTCCTGATTATTTTTTCTATGTAATAAATGGTTATACTCTTCTTTGATTATTTGCATATTTTTTAATTTTTATAAATAGAATTTAAGTAATACAATTAAATCACCTTAACTGTATAATTAAAAAAAAAAAAAAAATTTTTTGTCAAATGACATGAAACTGTATAATAAGATTAGGTTATTTTTTTATCTAAATCGTATAAAGTAATTATTAAGAATTTCTATAATTTAAAAAATTAAGAATAATGTTTTTTTTTTTTTTTTTTTTTTGATGAAAACATTCTAAACGATTAATTCTAAATAAATAAATAAAATAATGACACTAAAGAAATTGAGCTAAAAACAATTGTGGATCTTTATTTAATTGTAAAATATATATTTATTTAAATTACTACAATTTTTAGATACCAACGTTCTTTCAATAAATTATTTACTTATTATAGTTAAATTTATATCAGAGAATAGAGTCAGAAAGTAATTACGTCTGCTCATAAGATTTAGCGAAATATTAAAATATTCTGAAGCCTGTTTTATTTCATGTCCCGGTTAATTAAAATATAAACAGTTGTTGATCATAATAGTTGTATTACAAATGATAAAAATGAACAAAATGGATGCGGTTTATCTGTTAAATTATATAAGAATATATTTTCATAAAAAATATCGTAATCGATTCTCGCATTCATTATTTATTATTTAAATCCGTCTTAATTTATCAATAAAATAAATAAACTTCAGAGTTCTTATTTGAATGTGAATTTTCATCAAATAATGAATAAACTAGGCAAACTATTTTTATGTAATATCTTTACTGCTAACATATTTTTCAGTACATTTATTCCATTAATATAACACTTATAAATTGTATTCATCTGTCATTTATAAGTTTTGTACCATCATTTGGAATTTTACTTTATTTATAGTTTAAGGTTGCAGGAAATTTTTTTGCACTGATTTGAATTAAAAGTATTTTAACTTAAAACTAATAAGGCTAATTAAAAAAAAGAAATAATAAAAGAATACGATCCAGGAGATTTTCTTTAATTGCATGAGCTGCAATGAATAAATAGCTACTATATTGATTTGAAATCAAAAGAAGTTGTATAGGTTTAATAAAAAACAAAGTAAACTTGTTTAAGAGAATCTAATTTAATTAACGTAAATACTTTATTTATTATATAATGAACAAGTAATAACTATCAAATTTAATATAAAGAGAACATTAATGCATTGAATAGATGGCAAAAAATTGTAATTGAAAAATTATAAAATATATAAGGACACGGAATTTCTGGATTCTATTAAAGGAAAAAGGAACGATTTTGCTCTGCCAGTGTCAATTCAATAACAAAATAGAACAATGACGTCTAGATATTACGACTGTTATCAAATAGAAAAATAAGTTTAGCAAATTAAAGTAAATTAAATAAAAAATTTTTTATATGGATAAATGATATAAGATTCATAAAAAACTTTCATTGATTTATATAATCTCAAATAAATTTTTTAATAATTATTACATGGGTTTTTGCATGATATTGAAAAATATAAAAAATTTTTTTTTTTTTATATAAAATCATGTTTTACGTTTTTGAGTTGTTATTAGTTTCAAGTAAACTAAGTATAAATAAGAATATAATGCAAATAAGAATAAGTAAAATATTATATATATATATATATATATATATATATATATATATATATATACAAAAATAAATGAATTTTGCACATAACTTAATGATTTTTATTATATTCTTTACCAACATTTTATCAGTAATATTTTTATATAATTTTCAGATAAATTTGTACATTATTATTTATAGTTTATCTAAAAATTACTTCTTTATCTTCGGATGACACTATCGAAGCACTTGTACAGTCTATAAGAAATATGTGCAAATGTTTTTAATTAGATAAGTAATTTATTGTTTAATGTAATAGACCTTAGTTTTTTAACATGAATTTATAATGACTTTATAAAGTAATTTAAAGTAATAAAGATTTTTAACATACAGTTAAAATTCAAGATATTCATACTTATAAAAATTATTTTCAATACAATGAACATACATGTTTCAATTCTATTTATAATAGTATTATTATTTTTATTCAAATAACTTGTTTACTACACTGACCTATCTTTTAATTAATATATTAATATGAAGAATTTTTATATAATACCTTCAACTCTTAACTAAATCTATTTCTATAACTTATTTATTTAAACATTAATGGATTTAATAAACAATTGTTATAAATTATTGTAATATCCTATAACATATTTTATTGTTTATATCATAAAATAACGTATTATTTTTAGAAGCCCAAATGTATGAAGTATAATATTAAAAGAAACTATACGAAAGATTATATTTCATACGGTTTTAGGGAAAAGTAACGCCATTTATCCGTTCATAGAATTTCTTTTACATATAGTTATCATTTTTATTATCATTTTGTATTTATCATCGATAAGCAGTGATAAATGAATATATCTTATCAAATATACAGTGTAAATAATGAGAGGGAATGTAAAATTTTATATACTGGCTATCTTTAATCAGCTAGAAACTTTTACTTTTGGAGTACAATCCTTCTCTCCCCTCCGCTCTTAAATAAAGATTTTCTTTTCCGTAGATTTCCCAGGTTCATTTCTTTACTTATCATCGAGATCCATATTAGTTGATATGAGGTCAGTAAAATTAGACAGAATACCGCTGATTTTTGTTCCCGGCTTTCGCGACTTCGCGACTCTTATGGACCAAGACAGACTTCATCTCGAACGGAGCATTAACGAGATTTCAGGA